GGCTAGAAAATGCCCCAGCCTTCCCAAGACAAGGGAAAGACTAGAAGAGAAGGGTGGCAAAGGGAAGAATCAAATAAATGGATCGTTATTGATTATTTACTATGTTCAAGGCATTGTGGGAGGTATCAGGCAAAATGAACACAGGATTCAGATTAATTGGAGAGACAAAACATACAAAAAAATGTGAAATAAAATGTAACCATTCAAGATATCATTAGAAGAAATGAAAACAGGCCATGATGAAGTGCCAAGTGAAGGATGCAGAAAACTCGTACCCCAGATTCTGGAGGAGAAGAGCCCACAAGAAAAGTTTTACAGTATAGTTTTCCCACTAGAAGGAGACAAGGAGGGTTAGCTTTATAATTAGAATATTCTGAGGACCCCCCACTCCCCCCAAGAGGAGTTTAGTGGCTCTGCCATGGAAGTAACTCATGGATTTTAAACAGGGCTTCAAGTATTTACCTTATATTGCAGAATCAGGATCCAAACTGACAAAGTGCATGAGGTTCTTTGAGGCCTCCTCATATGAAGGGTTTTCTATACTGTAGTGGCCTCTAAATTCAGGGCAGTCATTTTCCCAGATTAGTTTTTTTCTCAGGTTAGATTCGACTTAAAAGAGAAGGCTGGGGAAAGCAGGGAGCTAGCTAGCTATATGCCTCCTTCCTTCTGTCTGCCCCACCCACCTCTCCAGGAAAGGTGAGCTACAAACTGGGAAGCTGTCCCAACCCAGTACACTGTCGTATGCTGTGACTTTCCCGTCCCCTAGTGCTTCAGAGGCCAGTCAGACAGAGTCGGACAGGACTTTGGTTGCACTTCTGCATCCCCACAGCTGAGCAACGTGGAGAGCCTAGGAGGCCCTCTGTTAGGTTTTTCAGGGCTTGCTTGGTGGACTGTGCTACAACCATTCTGTACTGCTAAGTAAACCAGAACATCTTTTTTTCTCAACCTTGTAATACTTTTATTCTCAAGCAGAAATGTATATTTGGTGTGCTTTTTCCCATAGACCATTTCTTTATGATTGCACCTTGTTGATGGAGCATTGGTTAATGAAAGTATCATTATGCTGCAACTTCCTGACTTTTGTTCAAATTCCAGTGGCACTGTTTAAAGCATTCATTTGACACTGAATGTATTACCTTTAATTGCTAAAATAGATAATTGCCTTCTTGCCAAATGAAAAGTTAAAGATATCAATATGTGAGATCTGGGCATTCATTGGAGAGTGTTAAATAAGCGGAGGACTAAGAGACGTTGGAAAAAAGAATTTTTTGTATACTTTCTGTATTCTAGAGTTGCACTGTCTAATACCATAACCATTAGCTACATGTAGCTTTTGAGCACTTGAAATTTGGCTAGTTCCAATTGAGATGTGCTGTAAATACAAAATATACACAAGATTTAGAAGACTTACTATGGGAAAAAGTAATTAAAATATTGATTAAGTATTAAATGATAATATTTTGGATATACTGGGTTAAATAAAATACACTATTAAAGTTAATGTCATCTGCTTTTACTTTTTTTTTAATTAAAGTTTATTGGGGTGACAATGGTTAGTGAAGTTACATAGGTTTCAAGTGTACAATTCTGTAATACATCATCTGTATATCACATTGTGTGTTCACCACCCAGAGTCAGTTCTCTTTCCATTACCAAATATTTGATCCCTTTTACCCTCATCTACCACCCTTCCCCGCTTTTACTTTTTAAGCGTGGCTAGTAGACAATTTAAATTACTGTGACTCACATTACATTTCTTTTGGACAGCGGTGTTAAAGGGCCCAGTACTGTGCCATGCATATATAGACGCTCAGTAAATATTTGTTTATCAGTTGGCCAGTCTTAGAGTTCTAAACTTTTAGTAGCCGTGCCCCTTGTGCACAGTTTAAAATAGATTAAGACAACATAGCTAGGCCAAGAAAACTAAGTAAACTGTGATGGAGATTAAGTAGAATTAATTTAGCCATCCTTTTAAATTAAAAACCTGCTTGGAGATGTATGCTATGACATGGATGAATCGGGAAAGCGTTATTCTAAGTAAAAGAGGCCAGTCACTAAAGGCCCCTTGTTGTATGATTACATTTTATGTAAATGCCCAGAGTAGGCAAATTCATAGAAACACAAAGTAGATTAGTAGTTACCCAGGGGCTGGGGGCAGGGAAAATGGGGGATGACTGTGAGTGGGTACAGGTTGTTTTGGAGGTTGAAGGCAATATTTTGAAATTAGATAATGGTGACAGTTGCACATCTCTGTAAATATATGAAGCTATTGAATTATACACTTAAAGAGGGTGAATTTTAGGCTGTGTGAATTACATCTTTTATAATTAATTAGTCTGTTATAAAAAAATTCAAGACCAAAATATAAAGGGCAAACTTATTTTTTATTCACCAATAATTCAAAATAATTACTTAAATAACATATGCTAATAATGAATAACTTAATTACTTAAAGCATCCAAATTCAAGACAATCAGTATAAAATGTTTTATGTAAGACCTATATTTACTTGAAGAAAACTAATTTAGCAGACTTTTTCTTAACTGGTAATGGTATTTTTTAAAAAAGTACTGATGATGGTTAATATATTTATTAAACCCTAACATAAAACCTAGTAGTGTTTTTTAAGATAATGAAACATAATTATATTTTATTAGTTTTATCTATGGATACTATTATTTTTAAATCAGTGATACTATGTTATTTCTTTTGTTTTAAAGGATTTGTATAAGTCCTTGAAAATACTATCTGCAGAACTGGTGCCTTGGCATAATTTAAAGAAGCAGGATGAAAATGAAGGTATCAAAGTTGAAGATCTGTTGTTTATAGTAGATACCATGTTGGAAGAAGTTGAAAATAAGGAAAAGGTAATACTTAATACTTATGTAAATATTCATGTTTTAATAGTAGTGTTAAAAACTGATAATGATATGACTATTGATATTTGTTCTAAACTATTTCTCTTTAAAATTTTTATTAAAGATTTGGGATTATTTTAAGATGTGAACTATCTTTCTTTTTCTCCCTCTTTTTTGGACAGGACAGCAATATGCCAAACTTTCAAACTTTGCAAGCTATTGTTTCTCACTTCCAAAAATTATTTGATGTGCCTTCTTTAAATGGAGTCTATCCCCGAATGAATGAAGTTTATACTAGGCTTGGAGAAATGAGCAATGCAGTGAGAAACCTCCAAGAACTCCTAGAATTAGGTGATGACCTTTTGTCATTTTTGGCCCCCAATTAAGAATTATTCCTAATAAATCAACAAAAAGTAGGTAAAAAAATTGTATGTAAAAAATTGAGGATAGCTGAAGCATAAAGTGTTTGATTTAATGCTTTTGAAAATTCCCTTTTAAAATATCCTATCCTTTTATTTGTCTTTTGCAGATAGTTCGTCCTCATTGTGTGTGCTGGTGAGCACAGTTGGAAAATTGTGTAGGCTGATTAATGAGGATGTGAGTGAACAGGTTACGCGGGTATTGGGACCTGAAGACCTCCAAAGGTATTTATTTTAAAAAGTTTCCAAAGTATCATCCAGAATGCTTGGACTGCTGAAATTAAAGACTTTCAAAACTTCATAAGTTATTTACCTTTCCTGTTTGGTATAGCATCTTTTAAATAACTCGACAATTTAAAATAATCTCACACTTTGGGGATGGAGCAAATGCCAAGTATTCTCAAGATAAAAATAGATTGGAGGACCTTATATAGGGCAGATCAGGGCTCCAGCATTATTGCTGTAAGCCCATTCCTGGGGAAAATTGTATATGGAGAAATTCAAACCTTATTAGCAACTTCATGTGAGTTTAGAAAATAAACAAGCCCTATTTTTAGTATACTACCATAGACTATTGAATAAACACTAACAGTATATTTATTATTTGATTAGAAGATAAAATGTTAAGGATTTTTTTAAAAGCTAGGCGTATCTTACAAAACTCTCCTCAAATTTTATACTGCGACATATGGAAAGAGGAACACATACATATACTACCGATTCCATATGTTCTGCAAGTTTTCCAAGAAGAGCCCTTACCTAATCTGACACTTGAATTTGCTGATACTTGATGCTTTTAAAAGGAACATATATCTCACATTGATCCTTTTCCCCTTCCCAAAGTTTTACTGACTACTGCTATTTATTCTTAATGTTTAATAGAATACTGGATATAAAAGCCAATTATGTTTGAATATGTTGTAAGAGCATGGTCTCTTAAGAATCCTTGAGTTAATAGAAAGTTTCCCATATTGGGAATGTTATATAAATTTAACCTTGGAACAGATATTTAAACTGATAATAAGAGGTTTTTTTGTTGTTGTTTTGTTTTTAAAGTGATATTAGATGAACAAAGAGTTCAAAAAGGAGGGATTGTAGTCATTTTTGTTAAATTTATGTTTAAATTAGCAGGACAGTTTCTTTCCATTTAAAAAATGTTCTATTTTCAGTTAGATGCAAGAACCTTAATTTGGAAATTAAGTGTAAACTGTGCATTTTCTTTAAAAGCATTATCATCAAATTGGAAGAACATGAGGAATTTTTTCCAGCATTTCAGGCATTTACTAATGATCTACTTGAAATCTTAGGTAAGATACCTGTTGGTGGTGGCTAAGTCCTAAGTCTTTCAAGTCTTAAGATGTCATTAGGTTTGAGGGAAGAATGTTCCTTTGTCACTGGATTAGTGCTTTTACCTAGAGTGTTTGGAAATGACTAACAGCCCTGGAAACACTCCTAACCTGCAGTTAGAGGCAATTGGGGATTAGTCTACAGGACAGAGAAGCACATACTCTTTAAGGAACAAGGGACTGCATTTGTTTTGGGATCTTAAGACGAGAAATGGCATTACTCTGGGTAGGCCCTGATTCTGTCATTGTCTAATGAGAAATCTTGGTAGACTTTATGATCTTGGAAGGTGTTTTTTTTGCCTCCTCCTCCTCCTCCTTTTTAATGACAGTACTTACTATGTTTTTTAAATATACAAATTAAATTTTCTACTCAGGTGAAAAGTAAAGTAAACATCTGTGCAAAGGAAGAGATAAATTTATAAATCTGTAGAAAGAAGAGGTACATTTATACTCTTGGTCAGATTGAGGGCTTTGTTAGGAGTAATATCTCTAAAAGGGAAAAAAATTAATTTGCTCAGGAGTCATAGGCAAAATAGAGACCCAAGTCTGTTATTTTAAGTGTGATTATGTATGGCTATAAAAATAATTTGTTACTTTTTTTAAAAATTATTTTTTATTATGAGATACACATTTTTTAGAATTAGTTTCAGCTGTACAACACAGTGCAATAGTTATACTTTTTACCCCTCGAAGTGACAACCCCCCTCCCCCAATCCGCCGCCCCTAATTTATGTTACTATTAAGAACACTTTTTAAAGTGATTTATTCACTATTTTTTTCTGTATAGCTCATTTGAAAGATTTTTTATGAAGAATGGCCCCTTGACATAGGGAATTAAATTAGCAGGAAATGAGGGTTAGTAGAAGATAAGGGAATGAGTAAATTAAAATTTAAAATAAATGAAAGAAGTATCTGACTGGCGTATATAGCCTAGTGAACATAAAGGAAGTGTTATGGCCACTTTTGTATAGACTCTGGAAGCACGAGAGACAGTGAGTGGGTGTGCTTTAGGCGTGCTCATATGTTTGAAAAGATCATGGCAAGGGAAAATGTAATTTGAAAGTTAAACTTAAGATGAGACTTGAAATTGTAGAAATGTGTTGCCTTGTATCTTAAAGAGCCTTGTTTCATAGAATAATATGACTTTACTTGCTTTGGGGTAGCAATTAAACAGTGACGTTCTCATTCATAAAACATTTTAATAGGTGTGCTGGTAACACTTATTTCAGAATCCTTCTATAGAAACTTCCTCTCAGATATTATCAGCATGGTTCATGTGGGATCATTTGCTTCAAGAAGCCAAGTCTCCCTGCAGATGAACTCTGCATTTTGGTCAGTTGAAATTCTAGAGTTAAATATATTTAACATTGGGAAAGCTAAATCTGTTTTGGCAAGCATGACTATTTTTGTTATTATTAGATGTCATATTAGGCATCTAGAACTATAGAGTGGTGTACTGAATAGCAGATGTGAAGAATGACTTTCTTTTTCTTATATAAGCTGAGAAAATCCCCATATCAGCCAGATCCTTCTCTGTGAGGTTCATTTATAAGGTGGATTTCTCATTTAGTGAGAAAACAGCTGTGATTTCAGAATGGGGGTCAGGGAATAACTTGATCTTGTACTTGACCACAATGTAAGGTGTGAACCAAATTCTCTGTTGTAGATTTGCTTATATTTTTTCCTTTCCTAAATCTTGGCGCTTTGTAAGTGGACCCAGACAAATATTCTGAATGAAGTCAGGAGCTTAAACAGCATGGGTCATATGTTTAGGCTAAAGGAAGAAGAACCCAAATCCAGGTACACAGGGAGGGAGAAAGGTGATATCCAAGGAAGCATGTTTTCTGTAAAGGAAATGAGTTTATGAACAGTGGACTAGCAGAATAATCTAGAAAAAGCAGTAAGAATCTAGAGAGCCTGCCACTAGGGATTACTTAGGGCTGGAGTCTAGATAATGAGATAAAGGACCTTGCTTCCTCAGTAGCCAGGAGCTTTTAGACAGAGTTCTAACTTAGGCTGATTGGGAGAAGATAGTGTTAGAAAGAAAAATCAGATTCAGAAAGAACCTGGCAGAGAAAGACCTGAACTGGTTTATCTGGTAAGCTGGAGCAGGCTGAGCTGTGTAATACACTGCGTCTGAGGTTTGTACTTTGGGAAGCATTACACCTTTTATTAGGTAGATACGCTTCATTCTAAAAGGTAGACCTAAGAGCGACCCTACTGATGAGAAGCCTTTCCAGGAGAATTAAGGCTAAGACTGTGTTCTATGCAAAGAAACCCCTAAGTCGTCAGAGACCCAGGAGCAAGAGCCTCTACCTGAGATTTTTACCATGTAGGCTCACCCATGTGATTATACAGATTTAAAGAGGAAGTAACATAACATCATAAATGTGGCCAGTAGGATCTGTTAGTAAGAGCATACTGCCAGTGAGATTAATGTCAGTGTCAGTGGCTGCTTGTAGCTTTTACAAAGAAGAGGCTCTGTGAGGCATGTGTGTCTGAATTAGTGACACTCTCATCACCACTATTGGAGAAAAACGTCATGGCCTGAAAGCACCGGTGTTGTGGCCTTTGTGTCTGAGGTTTGCCTTTGCATGGAGATTCTCCTTTCATCCGAGCCCAGCACTAGGTACAGCTACTCTTTTCTTCTTTTTTTATTACAGAAATTGATGACTTGGATGCCATTGTACCTGCAGTAAAGAAATTAAAAGTACTTTCATACTGAAAACAAATCATATCATTTTTACTGTGTAAATTGCTTTCTTAGCAGTCTAAGTATTTTGTATGATTGATCTTACTTTGAGAAAAGGGTTATAAAATGTATCTGCTCTCTGAATTCATCCTCTTCTTAACTGTTGTGTCCTTTTCCATTCATATAATTTTTATTAACTTTGAGATTCTTATCTAGAAAACAGTTGTTAAGTTAAAGTAGTAATTTAACTTTAGATCCTTTAATCATTTCTTAAGCAATTTTTGAGTGCTTAAAATGTAAGATTATTTTAAAGTATAGTGTGTGAGTCAAAGAGAAACTCAGGGAAAGAGACTGTAAGTAATAGAAAGGTTGCATTTAAGTTCAGGGTTAGTGATCTTAGGGTCTGGGAACAAGGAATGCCAATGGCTCTCTTAAGCCCAGCCAGTAGGAAGCTATTGCTTTCCTGGCAAGGAAATGGCACATTCTATTAAGATATCCCTCATGGCACTTGGCCTTTCAAAGCAGGAGGAAGAAAAGGAAGGAGGAAACGTTTTATCTTGTGTTTAGGGTAGGAAATGAATTAGGAGGTAATATAGATGAGTAGATAGAAGTCTCTCATAAGAAGTGTCTTTTTTGCAATCTTGATGTAATGTACTTTTTATAAGGGCATGAGACCTCAAATAAAAATTTTATGAAGAATTTCCAAACATACGTGTCCTCAGTGACTTATTTGTATTGTTCACAAATAATGAGTCCTATTGTCTTACTAGGCTTCCTCTCTCACTGCGCCTTCCTTGGGCAGCGGGTTCACCGTTGCTGCATCTTACATAAGAGTGCTTTTCTTGCTGCCTTCTACTTATTCTCTATTCTCAATATGCAGTTTGACTTTCTTAAAGGACTAGTGTCCTGCCTCACATCTATGAGTACAAGCCACTTTGCTGCTCCCTAATGCCCGCCCCAGCACCCCCTACTTTTTTAAGTAGTAAACCTGGGAAGACTTCTGTTATTCTTGTTCTTTGTCATACAGACTATTGTAAAGAATCTCCAGAAAAAGCAAGCATGATGGAATGGTGAGAGTAAATGTCAGTGGATAAACATCCAGGTCCTTGTCTAATGAGAAATCTTGATAGAATTTATGATCTTGGAAGTTGCTAACAAGGTGTTGACCTTGGGGATTAGACATAAGATAATATCGTAGGTGAAGGAACCTGTGTCTTTGAGGATTGGATAGAAAAAATATTTGGATAGTCAACAATGTAAAACTCTGAGTTGATTAGATTAGTCTAAGAAATTGCTATGAGACAGTTTGGAAATCTAATAGTATTTGAAAGGAAGTAATTTAAAAATTATGTTAATCTAAATATTGTCAGCTAGTGGTTAACTCTTAGTTTAAAACAGGTTTTTCAGACTTTTTCTCAGAGGCCTAGGAGTTTTTTGGAGGGCCACTGAGAGGGAAGTGCCACTAGTGGGAAGAATATTAGGCCCTCTCTATCACATCTACTTTTATCCTTTTTTTTTTTAAGATTTTTTATTGGGGAATTGGGAGGATGGGAACAGTGCTGGGGAATTGGGGGAAGGGGAACAGACAAGTTGCTGTTGTTTTGTTCTTCAGTCTAGTTGTGGAGGACGTTGCTTCACTGGCCCAAGTTGGCACCATCATTGCGCTCTTCCCGGGCGAGGCAGATCAGTCACTGGCTTCTGGACGGCCGTTCACTGTGGCTGCTGGCCGCTCACGCTGGCTGCTGGCTACATATGGTAGCCCATGGCAACCCACTGCCACAGGGGCTGCAGCCTACGCTGATGCCGGCAACTCACAGCAGCCCAGCTCCTGGTTGAGCTGTTGTTCAGCATCTTAGCTGTGGAGGGCAGTGTCACTGGCCCTCATATGTGGGATCCAAACCGGGGCCCTCTGGCATCCCAAGCCAGTTCTTAACCATCGCGCCACTCGGCCGGCCCTACTTTTATCCAATTTTAATTATTTAAAATATAAGTAAAGTCCTGCAGATACTGTTTAGCTCTTGATTTTTCTTACAATTTTATTGATGTATAATTGATATATAATACACTGTATATATTTAAACAATACAATTTGGTAAGTTCTGATATACATATACACCTGTGAAACCATCACCACAATCAAATAATAAACATACCTATCACTCCAAAAGTTTTCTCTTTGCTTTTGGTCATCCTTTCCCACTCCCTCCCATCCCCAGGCAACAAATGACTTTTTTATCACTACAGACAAGTTTGCATTTGATAGGATTTTACATAAATGGAATCATACAATATGTTCTTTTACTCTCGTCTTTTACTCAGCATAATTATTTTGAGATTTTTGTATGTCGTTGCATTTATTAACAGTGCATTCCTGTTTTTTTGCTGTGCAGCATTCCATTGTATGAATATACTACAATTTGTTTATCCATTCACCTGTTGATGGAAATTTGGGTTATTTCGAGTTCTTGACTATTACTGCAAATAAAATTGCTATGGACGTTCGTGTTCAGGTCTTTGTATGGACGTATTCTTGATAGATAAGCCAATGTCTTGAAAACTATTGTTTGATGTATTTGTCTTTTGTTTTGATTTTATTTGATTTGGGTTAGTATAGGCATATGGGTAAATTTGGTTTCTGTTATTCCATCCTGGTTAAAAGTAGAAGTTTAGAAGAAAATATATAGGGCCTCTTACTTAGGTTTTCTTTTATTGTTGTTGTTTTTTCTAATTTTATTGTATTGTAGTCAGAGAACATGGCCTATTGGGTATTGAGTCTTTGGAATTTGTTGAGACTTTATGTGGTGAATCTTATACCTGTTCCACATACTGTTTTAGACTTAAAAAAAGTCTAATCTCTAACATATGCATTTGGGTTGTTTATAGTTCTTGGCTATTGTGAATTGCTGCTACGAACATTCTTGTACATGCATCCTTGTACACTTGTGTGCAAGTTTCCTAGAATCTATCCAAGAATTGCTGGGTCCTGGGGAAACATGTCTGTATGCAGGCACAGAGGCTATATACAAATGGAGGTGGTAGCATTTCTACAGATAATGATGAGTGGAGTCTCTGGGGTTGTACAGTGTGGAGACTTTGGTAGGGAATGTGTATCTCTAACTTGAAGAAAATGCCAAACTGTTTTCCAAAGTGGTTGTACCACCGTCTGTATGCAAGTTCCCACTTTGCCACATCCTGACCATTCTTGGTAACTCAAATTTTTAAATTTTTTTCCCAGTGTCTTATATAGAGTTATTGTGGTCTTAATGTCTGTTTCCCTGATTTCTAACGAAGTTAAGTATCTTGTCCTTTGTTTATTGGCCATTTGTATTTCTTTTTTGAAGTGCTTTTATGTGTCTTTGGTTCATGTTTCTGTCGGCTTGTCTATCTTTTCCTATTGATTTGTGAGATGTATTTATATAGTCTGGACATGAACCACCTGACAGTTACATGTGTTTCAAATGTCTTCTTCCATTCTGTGTCCTCTTTCCATTTTCCTATGGTTTCTTTTTATGAACTAAAGAACCTAATTTTATTTTATTTATTTATTAAGATTTTATTGGGGAGTTGGGGGAGGGGAACAGCATTGGGGAATCGGGGAAGGGGAACAGACAAGCTGCTGTCCTTTGTTCTTCAGTCTAGTTGTGGAGGGCGTTGCTTCACTGGCCCATGTTGATATTATCATTGCGCTCTTCCCAGGTGAGGCAGTCGCTCGCCGGCCATTGGATGGCCACTCACG